TGCAACTTATTCTAAAATTGACCACATTCTGGGGCACAAAATAAATCTTAACAAATACAAAAAAAATTGAAATAATTCCATGCCTTCTATCAGACCACAGTGCAATAAAGCTTATAATCAACAGCAAAAGCAGCTCTAATAAATACATGAACTCGTGGAGATTAAACAACACACTCCTGAATCACAAATGGGTCAAAGAAGAAATCAAGAAAGAAATGAAAGTATTCCTGGAATAAAATGAAAATGAGAGCACAACACAGCAAAACCTCTGGGACACCCTAAAAGCAGTCCTAAGAGGGAAGTTTATAGCTCTTAGTGCCTACATTAAAAAATCAGAAAGAGCCCATGTAAACGACTTGACAGTATAACTCAAGACTCTGGAAAGGCTAAGAGAAGCCAACCCCAAACCTAGTAGATGAAAAGAAATAACAACAGAGCAGAAATTAATGAAATAGAAACAAAGAAAGTAATATAAAAAATTAATGAATCTAAGAGCTTGTTCTTTGAAAGGTTAAACAAGATAGACAAACTCTTAGCCCAGTTAACCAAAAGAAAGAGCAAATCCAAATTAAAAAAATCAGAGATCAAAAGGGAACCATCACAACAGACACCAAAAAAATCTAAAATACTGTAAAGGAATATAGACTTTTAAAAATCTATACATCGTTAAATTTGAAAATCTAAAAGAAATGAATGAATTCCTAAAATTATGGCCACCACCAAAGTTAAATCAAGAGAAGATCAACATCCTAAACAGACCTACAACAAATAAGGAAATTGAAACAGTAATACAAAACCTCCCCACTGAAAAAAGCCCAGGCCCAGACGGATTCACAGCAGAATTCTACCAGACATTCCAAAAAATACTGCTTAGTTTAATTTACCCAATATTGCTTAAATTATTCAAAAAGATAGAAACAGAGAACTCCCAAACTCCTTCTATGAAGCCAGTATCATTCTACTACCAAAACCAAGTAAAGATATAACAACAACAAAAAAAAACTATAGATCCATATCTTTAATGAACATAAATGCAAAGATACCTCAACAAAATACTTGCAAACCACATACAGACACACATCAAAAAGATCAGCCACCGTGATCAAGTCAGCTTTATCCCAGAGATGCAGGGATGGTCTAACATTCATAAGTCAATAAATGTAATAAAACATATAAATGGACTTAGAGACAAAAACCACATGGTCATCTCAATAGATGCAGAAAAAGCATTTGATAAAATCCAACATACATTCATGTTAAAAGTTCTAAAAGGAGCCAGGCGTGGTGGCACATGCCTTTAATCCCAGCACTTGGGAGGCAGAGGCAGGCGGATCTCTGTGAGTTCAAGGCCAGCCTGGTCTACAAAGCGAGTTCCAGGCCAGCTGGGGCTACAGAGAGACCCTGTCTCAAAAACAAAAACAAAAAAAGCTCAACAATAAAAATTTCAAAACTCTAAAGAAAGATACAGAGGAAGATACTAGGAGATGGAAAGACCCACTGTGCTCATGGATTGGTAGAATCAATATTGTGAAAATGGCTGTTTTACCAAAAGCAATTTCAATGCAGTCCCAATCAAAATACCCATGAAATTCTTTACAGAGCTTGACAAAATCATCTTAAAATTCATATAGAATCACAAAAGACCTCAGACAGCCAAAATAATCTTGGGCAAAAAGAACAATGCTGGGGGGAATCATCATATCAGAGCTCAGATTATATTTCAGAGCTATAGTCATAAAAACAGCATGGTACTGGTACAAAAATAGACACGTAGATCAATGGAATACAATAGAAGACCCAAACATCAGTTCATATAATTTCAGCCACCTGATATTCGACAAAGGTGCTAAAAACACCTAGTGGAGGAAAGACAGCATCTTCAACAAGTGGTGCTGGCAAAACTGGATCTCCACCTGCAGAAAAATGAAACTTGACCCTTATCTTTCACCCTGCACAAAAGTCAACTCCAAATGGATCAAAGACCTCAATATAAAACCTGAAACTTGAACACTGCTAGAAGACAATGTAGGCAGCACCCTGCAAGGCACAGGAAAGGACTTTCTAAACCGGACACCAGCTGCTCAGGCACTAGGGTCAACAATCAGTAAGTGGGACCTCATTAAATTACAAAGTTTCTGTACAGCAAAAGAAATAACTAAGGAAGGGAAGAGGAAACCCACTGAGTGGGAGAAAATCTTCACCAGATTCCCCTCAGACAGAGGATTAATATCCAGAATATACAAAGAACTCAAAAAAGAAAGAAAGAAGAAGATAAACAACCCAATAAAAAGATGGGTGATAGACCTAAACAGAGAGTTCTCAAGTGAAGAAATAAAAATGGCTAAGCACCTTAAAAAGTGCTCAACATCCTTAGTAATTAGAGAAATGCAAATCAAAATTGGCCAAGATCCGTAGAACAAAAGACTACAAATGCTGGAGAGGATGTGGAGAAAGAGGATCATTCACTGCTGGTGGGAATGCAAACTTGTACAACCACTATGGAAAGCAGTGTGGAGAACGCTCAAAAAACTAAAAATGAGCCTACCATATGATCCAGCGATACCACTCCTTGGCATATTCCCAAAGGATTCATTGTACTGTAGTGATGCCTGTATATCCATGTTTGCTGCTACTGTCTTCACAATAGCTAAGAAATGGAAACAACCTAAATGTCCCTCGACTAAGTAACACAAACACAGAAAAGCAAGCGATGTATGTTCTTCCTCATTTGTGGACTTTAGCACCAATCCTTTATACGTGAGTTTATAAATTCTGAAGTAACACCGGGAGCCAGGTAAAGGCAAAGGATCCATGACAGTAAAGGAAAAGAAACAACCTGAAAGGGAGATAGCAGGGAACAGATGCTACCTGAGGGAGGTTGAATAATTATGAGTAATTGGCAGGGAGGCGAGGAAGGAGAGACATACAAGGGACATAGTGTGGGGGAGCGAGGGAAGTCGGGAACAGAAGGATGGCGGAGTCAGGAGGTATTGGGGGGAGGGTGGGAATGGTGGGGCACTGTGACTGGGAAGGGAGGGAGGAGGGAGGCCGAGTGGGAGAAAAAACAGTAGAGATGTGTGAAACTCGGGGGGCTAGGAAACCTAGAGGAAAAGTGATGCCCTAGAAATCCTACGTGAAATGCACAGAGAGTGTCTGAACATTATTGCATATTTATACCTAGGAACTGTTTGGAAGGGAACGCAGTGTGAGATAGAAGAGACCTCTCTTAGAGCAACAAACATGCCATATATCAGTCATCAAAGATGATTCTTTCTGCAACAGGTGGAGGCTACTGCAGAGGTGCACATCTGCTCAGGCACAAAGAACATGCACCTGGGGGATGCCCAGTACTAGGTGACACATCTGCAGTCAAATCCCTACAACCAAGGCTCATGGAACACAGTGGAATAAGGGGTAGAGAGAGGGCTAATGCACCCCTCAACTCTCGCCAGTGAGGCAATCATGTACATCAGAGTGTATTACACACAGAAGGCCTCAACTGGCCAAGTTTTGGAGAATAAGACACTAGAGTGTAGGATGGGACTCCTATATGGAACCTCATTCACACACGGCTCGGGGACCATTGCGGAAGAGGAGTCAGAAAGATTGTAAGAGCCAGGGCTGGTTCATGAGGCTTGCTCATGTGTGCCTGAGGCAGTAGTGGTATCAAATGCAGGACTCATGTCAGCTCAATCAAACAAGGAGGAGGGGAGAAATAGGTGGTGAGTCAGCACTAGACCAAGAACTATTTGAGATTGGTTGCTGCTGGGTGAGGGTGAGCATGACTTGCATATGACCACTGGATGGGCTGACTAGACTCCAGCGGACGCATTTACACTAAAGGACATTTGGGTACAAACACCTGAATGAATAAGACTCAGCATGTATGGCAGAGTGCTTAGGGTTTGGTGAGGCATGGATGGGGGAGGGGTTCTGGATGTGAGTGGGAAATATTGTATGACATTTTAAAAGCCCAATTTAAAAAAAAAAAAAAAAAGGCCAGGGATGGTGGATGACGACAAGGAAACAGAACTTTCCAGACAGCTAGTCAGTTACACATACAAACTCACAGCAATGGTGACAACGTGCACAAGTCTCATACAAGCTCAAACCAGACACAATTCCAGCATAGATATGGGGAAGTGGGTAAGAAATCCTAACCTACTCTAAGGAACTTTTGGCAACTGATGGCTACTGGGAGGGGGAGAGACAGTCTCTTACAAGGATGGGACTATTGGTAGGTTAACTAGACTCTAGTTGACGGACCCACACTGAAGAATATTTGCGGATGCAAATAAGACTCTATTAGAATCATTAAATTGGGCAGGGGGCGGTAAAGGAGGTGCAGATAGGGAAAGGGATCTAAATACCATCAAATCATAGTGTATGAAAAATTTAAAAGCCTCAATTAAAATTTTTAATATTTTGTTTATAATTCTTATTTTATGTGTATGAGTGTTTAAGTGCACTGGTGCCAGCAGAGGTCAGAAGAAGGCATCAGATCCCCTGAAACTAGAGTTAATGGATGGTTGTTAGCCACCTTGTGGGTGCTGGGAATTGAACCCAGGTCCTCAGCTAGAGCAGCCAGTGCTTTTAAGCACTGAACCATCTCTCCAGCCCCCAATACAATTTTTTTGGTCTTTTTGAAACAGGGTCTCCTTGTACCCCCAGCTGGCCTGGAACTCACTATGTAGACCAGGCTGGCCTTGAAATCACAAAGATCCGCCTGGCTCTGCCTCCCAAATGCTGGGACTACAGGCGTGTGCCACCACACCCTGCCCCGATACAAATTTTTCAAATAAATTAAATTTTTTAATTACATGTTTTATAATGGAAAGATCATATATTAATGGTGCTATTATATATCTTAAGAACATGTATAAAATCAAAATGAATAATTTCTAATTGCCTAAACTAAAATTTTATGCATTCATGATTATTATGCAATTGATACTCACTAATATAAACACTGACAATTATTTTTTTTCTTTCTAATGCAGCCCCGTTTGAATCTAGCCCACATGCTTATACCAGACCACAAGGCTGTGAGGCCAGCTCCAGCATGCTCTCCCTCCTTACGACACTAAGACCAGTGTTGCAATCTGATGGGAAAGGGAACCGGAGGGTCAACATTGACAATTTTAATAAATAAAATATACTACTATTGCTGCTAATGAATTAGGGCTGGAATGTTCAGAGGGCAGAGTGCTTGACTAGCATCCGCAAAGTCCTGGGTTCCAGCCACAGAACCACACAAATCTGCTGTGGTGACACATGCTTGGATCCCCAGCACTTCAAATGTAGAGGCTGGAGGATCAGGAGTTCAAGGTCATCCTCTGTTACATATCAAATCTGAGGCCAGCCCTGGCTACGTGAGACCCTGTCTCAAAAAATAAAATAATCCAGGAGCTAGAGAGATGGATCGGCAGTAAGAACACTTACGAGGCCCCAGTTTGGTTTCCAGCACCCATTTCAGGTGTCTCACAGCAGTCCGTAACTCCGACTCCAGGAGGTCCAACGCCCTCTTCTGTGCTTTGTGGGCACTGCACACATGTAGCATGCAGGCACACATAAATAAAAATAAAATAACAAATAATATAGGAAAATGTTATTGTAAATGTGGCATTTAATGAGAAGAACGCTTCCCCAATTACTCCGTGTATATGGGGATGATTATCACTCATTATTAGAAGATGGGAGTCAATACTGCTAGACTCTTGTTTTTAATTTGTGAGATGTGCTCACTAAATAAGTGTTATAGGCTGGAGATATAGACCAACGGTAGAGAAGTTGAGTAACATGCATAAGCCCAATCCCCAGAACTGAGAGGGGAAAAAAAAAAAGGAATATTGGATTGGAAGGGATCTTATCCCCCTTCTTTGAACTAAATTTACCAAAGACAAATGTTTATCAGAGATTACGTGATAACAAGTCATTAAATGATAATTGAATGATGACATTAGACTATTCTTTCTGTTTGGGGGCAGAGATGAACTAGAAAAAATTGGGTTTCAGAAAGATGTTGCTAAGTGATTGGGCCATTTTCAGTGTCTAGAAATCATACCCAGGGATGGCAAGATGGCTCAGAGGGTAAAGGCTCTTGCCATCAAGCCTGACAATCTGAGTTTGGATCTCTAGGACCCTCATGGTGGAAAGAGAGAATCAATTCCCTCAAATTGTCCTCTGACCTCCACAAGTATGCTGTGGCATATGTACACATACATACACATACACTAAATGAATAAATAAATAAGAATATTTATTTATGTTGGTCTTTTTGAGACAGGGTCTCCATGCAGCCCCAGCTGGCCTTGAACTCACAGAGATTTGCCTGCCTCTGCCTCCCAAGTGCTAGGACTACAGGCGTGCACCACCACACCCAGCTTATTTTGATCTTTTTTTGAGACAGAGTCTCCCTGTAGCCCCAGATGGCCTGGAACTCACTATGTAGACTAGGCTAGTCTCGAACTCACAGAGCTCCACCTGCCTCTGCCTCCCCAGTGCTGGGATCAAAGGTATGTGCCACCACGTCTGGCCATAAATGTAAATTTTAAAGTTAAAAAATACTGAAGAAAGAATACTCAAAAAGGATTCCCAGTGATTATTACGTGGCTATTGATTTCCTTCTAGTTAGAAGAATTTTAATTGGATATACTTTTGTTTTTTTTCGGCCTTTTTTTCTGAAGCCACAGCTGACCTGGATTCACTATGGAGACCAGGCCGGCCTAGAACTCACAGAGATTCACCTGCTTCTGCCTCCTGAGTGCTGGGACTAAAAGCGTGTACCACCACATCCAGCTGGATATACTTTCTTAAGTTGGAAGAATAAAACATTTCAAAAAAATCTATGCACTTGAATAAATTGATTCTACCTTCTCACATACTTTAAATTTATTTTCCCAAAAGCCCACAGAGCTACAAATTCCCATCAGTGAATCAGTAGGAAATCTTCTCAGGGCAAAGCCAGTCCTCTTTGTTAAGTGGATTGACCAGATCAGACTTTGCTCTTGTCAGAGTCCGCCTTCATTTCCCGTTACCACAGCTTGTTACCACCTGTCCTTGAATGTTTGGTGGATAGATGAGTCCAGCAGATGCCACTGTGAGCTCGTTCCTTTTGGAACCAGGTTCCTCCAGCTTCCTGCCTCTTGTTACCACCTAAGCTTTGTCCTCCCAAAGCAACTGTCAGAGTCCAGAGCCTCTTCCATAGAAAAGGCCGAAACACGAAATTAAAATTGTACTCACACCATCTGCATTCAGAATAACCCAATGTCACCCAGAGTTCTGGTTTCATTCTGCTGTTATGGTAGACTACTCTGATCAACTTTAGGTCAGGAAAGTGTTTACCTTATCTTCTAGGTCACAGTCCAGCATTAAGGGAAGTCAGGGCAGAAACTTCAAGCAGGAACTCAAAACAGAAGCCATGGAGGAATGCTGCTTACCTACTCGCTCACAGGCTCATGCTTGTACAGCTTATACAGTTCAAGACCACCTGCGTAGGTATGATGCTGCCCGCAGTGGGCTGAGCCCTTCTAAATCAATCCCCCACAGATGTGCCCATGGGCCAATCTGATCCAGGAAATCCCTCAATCAAGGCTTTCAATTTTATGCTGTGTCAAGTTAACAAAGCTGTCTGGGACACCCAGCCTGGGCTAAAAGTCCCTGATTCAAAACTGGATTTCTCACTTAGCAGAGATATCCACCTGCAAAAAAAAATAATCTGACTCTGACTCTGCCACAGTGGATGGTGCTTTCTTAAGGAAGGCTGTTAGAGATCCTATGTTCCTGTGTTTTCCATGCCAATAACACACAATACCTCAGACTGGGTAAGTTTTAAGGAAAGTTTGGCTTATAGTCCCAGAGGTCCAAGGTTGAGGGATGCATCTTGTGACAGCCTTTATAATGGCAAAGTCCCAAGGTGATACATGACCTGGAAGCAGATGTGTGCTGATGTGCATGTGCATACATGTATGTGAGTACCTGCAAGTGTGTGTGTGTGTGTGTGTGTGTGTGTGTGTGTGTGGTGTGCCCCACATGTAATATATGCTGGGCTCTCCTTGTTATAAAAGCACAATTCCATCATAGGACTCCATCTTGACTCGTCTGAATTGCTTCCTGAAGGTTCCACCTCTAAATGACAAGCAGGTTAAGTGTTTTTCCTCTTAACACCTCACAGAGGAGACTACTTTTCAACAGAGTAATCTTTGGGGACACATGCAACCCATTTCTAAAAAACAACATACACCAATATTTCAAACTGGCCTTTAGGCACCCCTAGCAGGATCTGCATGCATGGGGCAATGTTCCAGCCTAGGTTTAAGATGTGTTTCCAGATCTGAGTTTCTATACAGGGGAGAGGTGCAGCAGGGAGAGGGGAAGTCCAATATACAACCGAGAGCTAACACAGGTTAGCTGACACTCTGAAAACAGGTGCTCTCGACCTTCCCCGTTTGTGTGTCCCCTCAAGGTCAATGCTCCTTCTTCTATTTCTGACCCTATAGTCCATCTCCTTTTTGGCATGTAAGAGACTCAGAAACAGGGACTGGAGAGTCTTGCTCCCTGCCATGTCCCTGGAGCAGAGGACGCTCTGCACACATTCCATGATTGTGAAGTATATGCTGACCTTAGTCCTGATAATGAGTGTTTGACCAGACTCCCTGTATCTGATAAAGAAAACAGCTAACTCACTCGAATCGTATCTCCCAGAAGCCCCCTTGTAAACAAGCAGTGAGTTGCTATGACATTACCTGCAGCTGAGGGAGCCCTTCCTTTTCTTTGGGGCAGAGAGAGGCCAACATGAGACCTAGAGTCTTTAAGACGGGATGCCCCAGTTTCTCCTCAAAGACACTGAGCAGCTGGTGTGAAGCCCAAGCTGTACACATGACTACATCCCACCTCAAGGGTCAAGGGCTCCCCAGAGGCTAAGGAACACAGGGGCCTGTTGATCTGGACTGAGCCATTTCTTTATCCTTCCAAGCAGATATCAAGGGGGAGTATTAATAGGCCAGAGAGAGACTTCGCATGACACTTCTCCTGTGACAGTCACAGGGACCCACCTCAGTCGCCAAAGACACAGTTCATAAAGACTCAGCCCTGGGACTGAGGGAATAACTAAAATGGTAGAGTGCTTGCCTAACATGCACAAAGCCCTGGGTTCAGTTCCCAGCACCACGTAAAACTGGGTGTTGAGCACCTGTCATCCCAACACTTGGGAGGTGAAGGAAAGAGGATCATGAGTTCAAAGTTAGCCTTGGCCACATAGTTCCAGACCAGCCTGGGCTACATAAGACCCTGCCACCCTCCCACCTACCCCCTACCCCCAAAGAAATAAAATTCAACCGTAACCCCCAGAGTGAGGAAGTAAGAGTGGTACTGGTTGAGGGGTTCAACACACATCAGGTGTGGCCATCAGAGAACGACTGGCTGGTTCTAAACCTGGCAGATGTCACAGCCAACAGGCCCTGCTTGACCAAGAGTTACCTCAGAAAACAGAGCAACTGACACCTTACTGAAACCTCCTCTCAGGAAAGACAACTGCCCACCTGCCACACTTCATGCACCCCTTAAATTTCGTATGTTGGAAACTTGATTCCCAGATTTCATCTGTGGCTGGGATTTGGAGACGGCATCTTAAAGACGATTAGGATTCGATGAGGTCAAAAGGGTGCCACCCCTGTGATGGAATTAGTGCCTTTATGAGAAGAGAGACCTGCGTTTGCTTTGCTTCCTCCTGCTCTTGCTGTGTGATTCCTTCTACCATGTTGTTAGGGTGAAAGCCTCAGTCCAGCACCCCCAGTAGGCTAGGCTGGTCCCCCAAACACCCCAGTACATTCCTAATAAAGAAACAAATGAAGAGCTGAGAGAGGAAATTTGTTCAATGTGGCCACATTGTGAAGAAGATCAAGTAAAGGGGTTCTGTGAACCCTAAGTCTGTCTTCAGGAAATAAACAAGGTTTAGGTGTATATATGTATGTATGTATTTATTTATCTTTTATTTTATGTGTATGAGTGTTTTGTGGGTATGTATATAAGCACACCACATGTATGCAATGACCTCAAAGGTCAGAAGTGGGCATTGGATTCCCTGGACTTGGAGTTAAAGACAGTTACTAGCCCATGTAAGTGCTGGG